CTTAGGGATGGACAACAAATGCTGCCTAGCCAGCGACACCCTCATCCCATGAATGTATAAAAAAAATCCTAATGGCTGCTCAAGTAGAATGTAAGACAGTAGATCCCTCTTCACTGTGAGAACACCTTCAGCTGAGTAAGCAGTTCCCATACACAGCTCAACTTCACTGAGACAGCTCTGAGGCAGTCATATTATTATCCACCAGCTCTGTAATCCTACACAGTTTGGCTAGCTGCTGAATGAAAGAGAGTAAAGTGTACTGGATGTAAATTCAGCTTCATATCTGTCAATTTAACCTCTCAACAATTACACTGAATCCCCGATCACTCAGCAGGCAACCTTTCATCCCTCCCAATTTCACTGTCGATTGAAGAAAGAGAAATCATTGTGGGTCACTATATCTACAGCTTTTGATAATAATCCACAAAATGGAATTGTTGTAAATCAGCAAACTCTTTCTTGTAGAAACATACCACCTGTGGAGAGCTTAGTCATTCCTCGTAGTGGTTCAGCCTGAGAAAGAACATGCCATTCTATGAATTAGAAGCAGAAGTAGGCCATTCCGCCCCTCAAGTCTGCTCCACCATTCAATAAGGTGATGTGTTTCAAATCCCACATTCCCACCCACCTCCAATAACTCCTGCCTAATGAGAATCTATTCACCTTTTTCTTAAGAATATTCAAAGATGCCACCTCCATAGCCTGCTGGGGTAAAAAGTTCTAAAATTACACAACTGTCAGAGAGAAAATATTTTCCCTTCCCTGTATGGGAAAAGGGTAACCCCTAATTTTTAAGCTGTGGTCCCTAGTTTTAGACTGATCCACAAGAGAAAACATCCTTTCCACATCCACCTTGTCAAGTCTATTCAGGATCTTACACTGGAATTCCCTCTCTCCTGGAATTCTCCGCTGGAATTTCCTCCCTAAGGGCATTATGGTTCCAACTACAGCAGGTGGATGTAGCAGCTCAAGAAGGCAGCTCACCCCGACCTTCTCAAGGGCAACTAGGGATGAGCAATAAATGCTGGCCAGCCAGTGACACCATCATCCCGTGAATAAATTAAAAAAAGCACTTTAATTAAGTCACCCCTCACTCTCCTAAACTCTGGTGTAAACAAACTCAGCCCTGTGCAACCTACCCCAGTGAGATAACTTGCTCATTTCAAACATCAATCTTGTAAAGCTCCTCTGAACCACCTTCAACACATTTAAAACCTTCCGTAGAGAAGAAGAGCAAAACTGTGCCCAGAACATCCAAGCAGATTGTTCAAATAAAAGAGGGGGCAGGGAAATGAGGGATTTTATGAAAGGCTTTTGAATACGGATGTTTTCCTTTAATGGGGAATAGATCATTGAATAAGTTACCAAGGTAAACATTGGAGGTAAGATTTTAAATGGAATCATGGGATAATTGGACAAGAGAAATGAACAGAATGAGAGAAAGAATGAAAGAAGTGGTACGAAGGTGGGTCACGTTGTGGACAGTGCGGAGGGCTGTTCTAGGTTACAAAGGGAGATTGACAGAATGCAGAGCTGGGCTGAGAAGTAGCAGATGGAGTTTAACCCTGAAAAGTGTGAGGTGATTCATTTTGGAAGGACAAACTTGGAAGCAGAATACAGGGTTAACGGAAAGATTCTTGGCAGTGTGGAGGAGCAGAGGGATCTTGGGGTTCATGTCCACAGTCCCCTGAGAGCTGCCACCCAGGTGGATACAGTTGTTAAGAAGGCGTAAGGTGTGTTAGCTTTCATTAATAGAGGGATTGAGTTCAAGAGCCATGAAGTTATGCTCCAGCTATACAAAACCCTGGTTCGGCCACATCTGGAGTATTGTGTCCAGTTCTGGTCACTTCATTACAGGAAAGATGTGGAAGCATTGGAAAGGGTGCAGAGGAGATTTACCAGGATGTTGCCTGGAACGGAGGGAAGGTCTTACGAGGAAAGGTTGAGAGAGCTAGGGCTTTTCTCTTTAGAACGACGAAGGATGAGAGGTGACTTGATAGAGGTGTACAAAATGATCAAAGGTATAGATAGAGTAGACAGCCAGAGACTTTTTCCTAGGGTGGAGGTAGCTTTTACGAGGGGACATAGTTTTAAAAGTGAAAGGAGATAGATATCGGGGAGACGTCAGAGGTAGATTCTTTACTCAGAGTGGTAGGGGCATGGAATGCATTGCCGGAGAGGGTAGTGGAGTCGGCCTCATTAGGGGCATTTAAGCGGCTATTAAATAGGCATATGGATGATAGTATAAGGTAGCGGTAGAGGTTAGCTAGACATTAGGTTTAGGGTAAAAGTTCGGCACCATATCGTGGGCCGAAGGGCCTGTACTGTGCTGTACTGTTCTATGTTCTATGAAGTCAACCTCCTAAAAGAAGGGACAGCCTGTTTAGCTTCTTGTGGTCTTTCCTTGTACAACTATAGTATTATGATCACCTTGGTGATGGAAATCTGAGGAATGCTATCAATGGCCAGAGTATTTAATTGCAAAGTAAAAGGTTTGCAAAGACTACTCTTCATTATTAATTAGACAAGTGAGTTCACAATGGAAAAATGGCAGATGGTATTTTCACTAGACTATTAATCCAGAGACCCAGGTAATGTTCTGGAGTCCTAGGTTCAAATTCCACCATGGCAGATGGTGGAATTTGATTTCAATAATTTAAAAATATTTAGATTTTAAGGGTCGAATGATGAACATGAAACAGTTATTGCAGGAAAGAAATTAATCAAATTCACTAATGTCCTTCAGGGAAGGAAATCTGCCATCCTTACCCGGTCTGGCCTACATGTGACTCCAAATCCAAAGCATGTGGTTGACTCTTTGCTGCCCTCTGGGGCAATTAGGGATGGGCAATAAATGCTGGCCTGGCCAACGATGCCCACATCCTGTAAATGAATAAAACAAATGTGGATGACACTAAAATAGGTGGCATCGTGGACAGTGAGGAAGGTTATCAGAAAATGCAGCAGGATCTTGATCAGCTGGGGAAGTGGGCTGAGAAATGGCAAATGGAGTTTAACATAGATAAGTGTGAGGTGTTGCATTTTGGAACGTCAAATCAAGGTAGGTGTTTCATGGTGAATGGTCGGGCCTTAAGGAGTGTAGTGGAGCAGAGGGACCTTGGAGTTCAGTGCACAGTTCTCTGAAAGTGGAATCATAGGTAGACAGGCAGTGAAGAAGGCTTTTCGCACACTGGTCTTCATCAGTCAGGGCACTGAGTATAGAAGTTGGGAAGTTATGATGCAGTTGTACATGACATTGGTGAGGCCACACTTGGAGTATTATGAGACAACAAGGTGCAGAGCTGGATGAACGCAGCAGGCCAAGCAGCATCATAGGAGCAGAAAGGCTGACGTTTCGGGCCTAGACCCCATGTGTTTAGTTTTGGTCACCTTGCTATAGGAAGGATGTTATTAAACTGGAAAGAGTGCAGAAGAAATTTACAAGGTTGTTGCCAGGACTCAAGGGACTGAGTTATTGGGAGAGGTTGGACAAACTAGCACGTTTTTCTTTAGAGCATAGGAGACTGAGGGGGGGATCATATAGATGTGTATAAAATCATGAGAGGCATGAATAGGGTGAATGCACTCAGTCTTTTTCCCAGGGTTGGGGAATCGAGGACCTGAGGGCATCAGTTTAAGGTAAGAGGGGAAAGAATACATGGGAACCTGAGGGACAACTTTTTTACACAGAGGGTGGTACGCATATGGAATGAGCTGCCAGCGGAAGTGGTTGAGTTGGGTACATTAACAACATTTAAAAGGCATTTGGAAAAATACATGGATAGGAAAGGTTTAGAAGGATATGGGCCAAGTGCAGGGAAATGGGGTTAGTGTGGGTGGACATTTTGGTCAGCATGGACCCGTTTGGGCCGAAGGGCCTGTCTCCGTGCTGTAGAACTCTATGAAATTTAAAGACAGGAATGCGGAATATTACAATAAGGAGTGTGGTTCAGCAAGCAGGAAGTGTGCACAAACATAAAAACAATTGAATATATTAGTTGTTAATGTCTCATTACACACTCAGGAGGTTTGAAAATTGAGCTGTTTTCTCTCACTGTCTCTTTCCCTTGATCTTACTATTCTTTTTCTATTGTCTTTGTGTTTCTTTCACTCCTTCTCCGGTCACACCTCTCTGTTTTCTGATTTTCTCTCCTTAGTGCATCTTCTTTATCTCTCCTTTCCTGCGGGGTAAGGGGTGCTGAGGAATGGTACAGATAAACAATAGCAAAGGTTGGCTGCCTAACTGCACTTCCACCACTTCTGCTAACCCCGAGCTTCTCAGTTCCATTGTAAGGTCCCCTCATGTTCCCATCACCAATTCTCTTTGGTATCGTACCCGCACTCCTGTCACTTACTCCCTACCTATCATGCCTCAAACTACCAGCTCCAATGTTTCATCTTCCTTCTTTGGGCTCCGCCATCACTCACCTTACCCATTCCTCTCTGTCCATTATGCCTCCAATCCTACTTTCTCTTCCCAGTTTAGATAGTCCTCAGCTAAAACCTATCATTCCCACTCCTCCCTTACTGCCTGCTGATTTCTCTCAGCACTTTTATTTGTCTTCCAAAGCTCATCTTCCCTTAACAAAAAGGAATCAAATTAGAATGATGAAGTCAACTCTATCTATTCTTTTCTGTCTTTGTGTCTTCCGTGCAGCGTGCACCCCCCCACCTCTCCTTCTGAAATATTAGAAAGTAGAATCTTTGTTTGAAATGTAAGCCAATAATGATGAACATCTTTTTTAATTATCAATGCTACAGTTCCAGAAATGATCTAACTCCTTTCACTGAATGGCAGAATGAGACTGAGATGTCAAGTGGCCTAATCCTGCTCCTAATTCCTCAGTTCTTGATCAGCTGTTATAAGGAAATGGAGTTAAGGCCACAATCAGGTAACACACAGTATTCTGTAATAATGCAGGAGGCTTGAGGGGCTGAATGGCCTTCACTGGTTTCTCATTATTGTGCCTTTGTGATTTTGAATTTTAATTTTAACTTACCGTACATTAAGCAGCTTCAGTGCATGCACTAACACTCCCTTTTTCACTTCAAAATCTATCTTCTGGTCTGTCCCAAAGCTAGGAGCACGGTTAATCTGGTTAGGGAGGTGGAAAGACATCATTTCAAAGACTCTTCAAGAAAACAATACTTGAATATTTCAACTAACGTGTCAGAAAGGTTAATTCAGCAATCTGTTTTGATCAGCCTGTCCACACAAATCCCGAACACCATGCTTAATAGACCCGAAACAAGACAGTGTCCAACAATCCCAATCAGTAGGGGGGTCTCAGTTTTCCCAGAAGGATCACAATCTCTTTATTAACACAGAACCACTTCTCCAAGTTCAAAAATAACCTGAAGGGAATTAGCTACACGTCAGAACTAAACTTCAACAGTTTGCATTTATATAACCCCATAGCATAATGAAGAGCCCCATGGTGCTTCACTGAAATGACTGCCAAACAAAATTTGACGGCAAACACAGAAGGAGATATTAGGAGTGCCTTAAAGGAGGAGAGGCAGATGTGTCCAGACAGGTGAACTTCAGAGTTTAGTTTTAATTAAAAACCCGGCCATCGACAGTGGACCATTTAAAATCAGGATTGGAGATGCAGCTAGATGTCTTGTAGGGCTGGAGGAGTTATAGGGATAGGGAGGTGTGAATCCAGTGAGGGTTTTGAACACAAAGGTGAGAATTTTAAACTCAAGGCATTGCTGAACAACTTGGCCAATTGTGTGTTGATGGGTGAATGGGCCTTTTTTTCATTCATTCGTGGGATGAGGGCGTCGCTGGCTAGGTCAGCATTTATTACCCAGTTAAGAGTTAACTGTGGATCTCAAGTCACATGTAGGCCAGACCAGGTAAGGACAGCAGTTTGCTTCCCTAAAGGACATTAGTGAACCAGATGGGTTTTATCCCCCAATAATCAACAATGGATTCATGGTTATCATCAGACACATCATTCCAGGTTTTTGTTGGATTCAAATTCCACCATCTGCTGCAGCAGGATTTGTACACAGGTCTGCAGAACGTTAACAGCCCAACGATAATACCATGAGACCATCTCCTCCCAGTAAAGTTTTTAATGGGCTCTAGTTTATGGAGGTGCAAAGGAGGCTGGTCAGAAACATACTGAAATAGTCATACCTAGAGGTAACAAGAGCAGAGGTGGCCTTCAACAGAATGGCTCCCTAAAATCATAACTCCTTCCTGGCATCATGAGCTTGTATTTATTTCCTCTTGCCTTTCAGTCAGAGTTTGTTCTGAAATACTGCTCCAGACAATCCTTTTCTATCTCTCCAACTTTGCTATATTTTCAGCGGTCTCACTTGAGGGCAACAGCTTGGCGCGTGGACCGTCTGCTCATGAAATTATGGAGCCCGTCTGCTTGTGAAATGAACACAATCAAAACCCAGGCTTGCCCACTTCTGGCGGTCAGTTAGGCTTGGTTGGCTGGACAGTTTGTCTCTGAAGCAAAGGGATGCCAACACCAGCTAAAGTTACCATGATGGTCCCATCTTCTCAATCCCTCCCTTCACCTGAGGTGAGGTGACCCTCGGATTAAACCATCACCAGTTGTCTCTCTTGACCTCTCAGTTCACCATGCACTAGTCAGAGATGGTCCAGCTCACAGTTTATAAGCAATTTTGTGTTCCCTTTACAACAGAGAAGGCTATGGGGAGATTTAATCTATTAGGTAAATAAGGAGGAGCTGCTTCTGCAGAATCACGGAAGTATTATGGCACAGACAGAGGCCATTCAGCCCATCATGTAAGCAACAGTGATCCAATGAGTGTTATGACTTAGTGCCATTCTCCTGCCTTTTCCTCATGACCTTACAAGTCGTTTGCTTGAAATGATCATCTAATGCCTACTTGAGTGCCTCAAGTGAATCTGCCTCTACTCCACTTCAAAGCAGCACATTCCATACCCATGGCGGAAGAGTTGAGGGGAGACGATGGCCTAATGGTATTATCGCTGGACTGTTGACCCAGATAATATTCTAGGGACCTGAGTTCGAATCTCGGCACAGCAAATGGTAGAATTTGTATTCAATAAATATCTAGAGTTAAGAATCTAATAATGACCATGAATCCATTGTCAATTGTTGAGGAAAAACCCATCTGGTTCACTAATGCCCTGTAGGGAAAGAAACTGCCATCCTTACCTAGTCTGGTCCACATGTGACTCCAGAACCACAGCAATGTGGTTGACTCTCAACTGCCCTCTGGACAATAAATGCTGTCTAGCCAGTGACACCCTCATCCTGTGAATAAATATTAAAAAAAAGTCAGTAACCAAAGGAGAGAGAGATTAGGTTCAGTCTGGATGTATAATTTGCCAACCCACATTGTTGTAGGCCTAGGCCAATTTATTACAGGTGTGAGGCAGCAAATTTCTCCTCCATGCTACTGCTTGCGCAGGTTAGTTGCTATGGAGTCTTCCCTTGCACTTTTAGCTCAAACATAACTTTGGAAGTACCAGTTGAGGTTTGGAGGGTATAGGTGTCATGCCTGTCTAGGATGGGCCGAAGGAGTAACAGGTAATGATGATATTTTATAGCTGGATGGGAAAATGGATTGTACGGGATGGGAAAACAGGCTGGGAAAATTTCGGATGATACTTGACAAGTTGCATGACCTTGAATGAGTCCCGTGAACATTCCTTTATGGGCCGAAGATAGCACCTGCAGCTTGTATTTTCTGTAGCTGTGTTTTCTGTTCTGGCCAGCAGTTTTGTCTGTTGTATCTGCTGTTTTCTGTGCTGGCTGTTTCTTACTCTGTACAAGAGAGAGCGAGTTTCATTCCAAGCTGCTAGACTTCACCTCGGACTGGAATTGTGAACAGTGCCAGGAACAAGCTCAGCCTTCAGACCAACCGTCAATCGAGGGGCCCCCGACGGGCAGAAGGGCGTGAGGCTTATTGCTTTTTCCTCTTTTTTCCATTCTTTTTATTTACTTAATAAATGTTCCTTTCTTTTTCATCTTTTATTATTACTTATGAAACATTCATATTTAGGCAAATTGCTGTTGTCGAGCCTTCACTTAACTACATTTAACCAAATCTGAAAAGAACTGTTTGCGTACACTCTGTGATGCAAGACAGTGTCTCATCTGATTTCCTGTGCTTTCATTAAAAATATTCAACTCGTCCCCCTGCCCTTCTGTCAAGCAGCCAATACAACAAAAGTCACAGTACTCCAACAACGTTAACCAGAGAGTCAAACAGCACAGAAACAGACCCTGTGCTTCAACTCGTCCATGCTAACCAGATTTCCAAAACTGAACTAGTTCTGTTTGCCTGCATTTGGCCCATTTCCCTCTAAACCTTTCTTATTCATTTACCTGTCCAAACGTTAGGGTTAGAGTTAAGGTTAGAATTAGAACATAGAACAGTACAGCACAGTACAGGCCCTTCAGCCCACGATGTTGTGCCGACCTATTATCCTACTAAGATCAATCTACCCTGCATACCCTACATTTTACTATCCTCCATGTGCCTATCCAAGAGTCGCTTAAAAGTGTCTAATGTATCTGACTCCACTACCACTGCCGGCAGCGCATTCCACACGCCCACCACTCTCTGTGTGAAGAACCTACCTCTGACATCTCCCCTATACCTTCCTCCAATCACCTTAAAATTATGCCCCCTCGCAATAGTCATTTCCGCCCTGGGAAAAAGTCTCTGGCTATCCACTCTATCTATGCCTCTCATCATCTTGTACACCTCTATCAAGTCACCTCTCACCCTTCTTCACTCCAATGAGAAAAGCCCTAGCTCCCTCAACCTTTCCTCGTAAGACCTGCCCTCCAGTCCAGGCAGCATTCTGGTAAATCTCCTCTGCACCGTCTCTAAAGCTTCCACATCTTTCCTATAATGAGGTGACCAGAACTGAACACAATATTCCAAGTGTGGTCTAACCAGAGTTTTGTAGAGCTGCAGCATAACCTTGCGGCTCTTAAACTCAATACCCCTGCCAATGAAAGCCAACACACCATACACCTTCTTAACAACGCTATCAACTTGGGTAGCAACTTTGAGGGATCTATGGACGTGGACCCCAAGATCCCTCTGTTCCTCCACACTGCCAAGAATCCTGCCATTAACCCTATATTCTGCATTCAAATTCGACCTTCCAAAATGAATCACTTCACACTTTTCTGGGTTGAATTCCATCTGCCACTTCTTTGCCCAGCTCTGCATCCTGTTAATGTCCCGTTGCAACCTACAACAGCCCTCCACGCTGTCCACAACTCCACCAACCTTCGTGTCATCAGCAAACTTACTAACCCACCCTTTCACTTCCTCATCCAAGTCATTTATAAAGATCACAAAGAGCAGGGGTCCCAGAACAGATCCCTGTGGATCACCAAGGGTCACCGAGCTCCAGGCTGAAAACTTTCCATCTACTACCACCCTCAGTCTTCTATTGGACAGCTAATTGTGTATCCAGACAGCCAGATTTCCCCGAATCCCATGCCTCCTTACTTTCTGAATGAGCCTACCATGGGGAAACTTATCAAATGCCTTGCTAAAATCCATATACACCACATCCACTACTCTACCTTCATCAACATGTTTTGTCACATCCTCAAAGAATTCAATTAGAGTTAGTACCATCTGGGAGAGCTGAGTGAAGATTGAAGTTGAACCACACATTGTGGTCACTGAAGTAAGGAGCACTCACCTCCAGGAGCCAGGGCTTCAGCTTCCTGTCCAAAATGATGTCAAAACCAAGAACTTCGAAACAGACACTGTTGCTGCCGGGGTGCTGGCCTGGTCGGCACATTCGGTAGGCATGTAGAACATGAGGCTCTGCCACAATCAACGTCTTCACCACAAGGTCCTGTGACAGACAGAAATAGTACATTAAAGAAAGAAACTGCGTTTATAAAGCAGTTTCAGCACATCAGAGCAAAAGGTGGGCCATTCAGCCCCTTGAACCTGATCCAACATTCCAAATCATGGCCAATGATCTACCTCTGCATCATATTTCCCCGCTATCCTCATATCCCTTGTTGTTATTAGTAACAGAAATCTATCAGACTCGGTCTTGAATTTACATAAACAGCAGGTTTCCAAAGCTCTCTGTGAGAGATTCATCACACACAGAGTGAAAAAAATTCCTCTTTGTCTGAGCACTAAATGGCTTGCCCTTATTTTGAGATTACACCCCCTGGTTTCAGATCACCCCCTCCCTCACCCTGTTACCCCAGCTAGAGGGAGCATCCTTTTCCGCATCGAGACTTCACAATCTAGAATTAATAGTCTAATGATGCCCATGAAGCCGATGTTGATTGTTGGAAAATCCAAACTGGATCGCTAATGCTCTTTAGGCAAGGGAAGTGCCTTCTTCACCTGGTCTGGCCTGCATGTGAATCCAGACCCACAGCAAGGGGTTGGACTCTCAACTGACCTCTGGGCAATTAGGGATGTGCAATAAATACTGGCCCAGCCAGCAACACCCAGATCACCCATCAATGAATTTTTAAAAATTGTTGCAAGTTCCAGTAGATTGCTGTTCTTCCAAACGCTAGACATTACAAGACCTATCGTTGCAAACCCTTCCCATCGGACAGACCCACCATCCTACAAATCAATGTTGTGAACCTCCATTGCACTCCCTCTGCTGCAAGTAGATCCTTCCTTAGACATGGGGACCAGAGCTGCACCCAATACTCTCACGAGCATTCTATATAATTGAGGCAAAACTTCTTTGCTCCTATACTCAAATCCTCTTATGGTAAAGGCTAACACAACATTCACCTGACAAATTGCTTGTTGCACTTATATGTTCCCTTTCAGTGATTTATGAACAAAGATACCCAGGTCCCTTTAGACATCAATGCTGCCCAACCTCTTACCATTTAAGAAATACTCCGCACCTCCTTTCATCCAGGATTTGCAGCCTTTGAATTAGTTTTGAAGTTGCTGTGAAACACAGTGACCCTCTCAAGTTTAACAACATCCTTCCAATGGAAGAGCAGCCAGATTTGTCCACAGTATTCTAAAACAGGCCTCACCAATATCCTGTACAGCTGCAACATGATGTCCCAATTCCTATACTCAGTGCAATGACCAATAAAGGCAAGCGTACCAAACGCCTTCTTCTCCACCCTGTCTACCTGTGACTCCACTTTCAAGGAACTATGCCCACCTGCACCCCAAGGTCTGTTTGTTCGGCAACACTCCCCAGGACCTTACCAGAAAGTGTATAAGTCCTGCCCTGGAAACAAAAAATGCTGGAATTCACAGTGGGTCATGCAGCATCCATGGAGAGAAAGCAAGCTAACGTTTTAAGTCTCAGAGCTGACGAGAAGCGTGGATGAGGCCACTTTATGCAATAACTGTGGGGTGGGGGATGGAGTGCTGGGGGAGAAAGGGTGTAGATAGAGCAGATTAAGTGATTGGAATATCTAATTACCAAACCTGAAAGAACAGACAGTCCCACTGGGATGTTGGTGGGGGGGAGGGGTGTAAAGCTGAAAGAAAGGGAAGGAATGGGAGTGGGCTTACAATCTGAGGGTGTTGAACTCAATATTGTCTAGTCTGAAGATGAGATGTTTTTCCTCCAGTTTGCGCTGTGATTCACTGGAACACTGCAGCATGCTGAGGACAGACATGTGGGCACGTGAGCAGGACACTGTGTTAAAATGACTGTATGGGAAGGTTGGGATCCTGCTTGCACACAGACCAGAGGTGTTCTGCAAAGCAGTCACCCAGACTGCGTTTGGTTTCTCCAGTGTAGAGTAGGCCACATTGGGTGCAGCTAATACAATACACAAGATTGAAGGAGGTACAGGTGAAATGCTGCTTCACCTGGAAAGACCGTTTAGGCCCTTGGATGGTGAGCAGGGAGGAGGTGAAGAGGCAGGCATTGCACCTTCTGCAGTTACATGGGAAGGAGCCGTGGGGGTGGGGGTGTGGTGTTGGTGGTCAATGAATGGACGAGGTTGTCCCAGAGGGAACAGTCTCTGCGAAATGCAGACAGGGGGAGTGAGGGGAAGATGAGTTTGGTGATGGCGTTCTGCTGGAGTTGTCTGAAATGGTGGAGAATGATCCTTTAAATGTGGAGGCTGGTGGGATGAAAAGTGAGGACAAAGGGAACCCAATCACACTGTTGTGAGTGATGGGAAGGGGCAACGGCGGAAGCACAGGTGATAGGTCGGATGCGGTTGAGGGCCCTGTCAACCACAGTGGGTGGGAAACCATGGTTATGGAAGCAGGAAGCCATGTCAGCAGCGCTGTGTTGGAAGGTGGCATCATCCGAACGGAAACAATGTAGGTGAAGGAACTGGGAGAATGGGATGGGAGTCCTTGCAGGACGTGGGGTAAGGTAGCTGTGGGAGTCAATGGCTTTGTAGTGGAAGGCAGTGGACAGTTTACACATACCCCATAAAAAGACAGGCATAACTAGGACCTATGCGGGTGCCCATAGCCACTCCTTTGACTTGGCAGAAGTGAGATGAGTTAAGGGAGGAATTGCTCAGTCAGAGAACAAGTTCAGCCACATGGAGAACAGTGGTGGTCCTTTCCTGGCTTGCCTTACTTAGTCTTTTCTAGTATTTTCACCATCCCTATATAATGACGGCCAAAATTCCATTTGCCTTTCTGATTTACACTTGACAGAGGCATGTGAGCATGAAGTTAGTGACCCGTAGCAATCACAAAACCAATAACCTCATGAGCCATCAATGTCTGGGAGAAGGAAGGGATTAAATCTGTAGGATATAGGAGGAGCAGTTCTTTGAACAATTCCCATTGAAACAATTTTCACGGTAGGTGAAAGTACAGTACAGGGTATTCTTGCTTCTGAGTTAGAGATTGTGGCATCAGGTCCCAGTCCAGAGACTTGGACATAAAATTCTACGCTGATATACCAATACGGTACTGAGGGAGGGCTGCACAGAGCAACCAGCTTTCAAGCAAGATTCTAAATCATAAGACGACAAGACATAGGAGCAGAAGCAGAATCAATCCTTAATTCCCTTACTGATTAAAAATCTGCCTATCTCAGCCTGAATTACACTTAATGATCCAGCCTTGACAGCCCTCTGTGTGAAGAATTCCACAGAGTCACTACCATCTCAGAGAAGAAATTCATCCTCACATCTGTCTTAAATAGATTATTCCCTCCAATCCTAGAGTCTCCCACAAGGGGAGACAACCTCTCCATATCCACTCTGTCAAGTCTGCTAAGTATATGCTTGTTTCAATAAGGTCACCTTGCCATTTTTCTGAACTCCAATAAGTACAGGCCCAACCTGCTCAACCTCTGCTCATAAGACAGTCCTCGTTCTCATAGCATTATTTTGATGCAGAGTAGACAAGTTACCACCCCAACCGTGCACCCCCCCCCAACCCGCCACCGTGTTCAGGAAAATATGAATCCCACAGTCAGCATCGCAAATGCCAGATGAGCTGGTCATTACCACATTACTCCATAAGGGAGCCTGCTATGTGCTAATCTAGAGGCTGACATGCCTCTACCTTAAGACAGCGACGGAAATTCATAAGGTTCTTCAGTATCGCTAAAGCACAATGGGTCATCCTGACAGTGTGCAAGGTCTTCGAGAAATGCAAATCTTTCTCTTTCTTTCTTTAAAAATTAAGCAATGCTGATACATACAGAGACATCATTCCAGAATTTGGCCACATCGTAATCGTTGGTGCGAAGGAATTCGGTGAACCACCTGATTGATCGCTTGCTGCCTCTGTCTGCTTGCTCATCCCGCTCAAAATTCTCATTGTGCTTGTTCACAGAGTAGTTCGTCAGGTGCATAAAGAGCTGGCTCTGCAAAAGTCGCATAAAAAGAAACAGAAAGACACAGTATATTCTTTCCTGCAGACATGATTTTTCTTACTGCTAACTATGTCGTGTGAATTGATACAATATCCAAGGTTGGAGTACTCAGTGCAATGTTGGGCTCTTTTTTTTACATTCATTCATGGATGAGAGCACCACTGGCATTTACTGCCCATCCCCAATTGCCCAGAGGGCAGTTAAAAGTCAACCACATTGCTGTGGCTTTGGAGCCACATGTGGGCTAGGCCAGGTAAGGATGGCAGTGAACCAGATGGGTTTTTAAGACAATCAACAATATGGTCCTCATTAGACTCTTAATTCCACAGAAAGAGAAGGATTTAAGGTAGAGTGGCATGGTGGCTCAGTGGTTAGCACTGCTCCCTCACAGCGCGAGTTTGTTTCCAGCTATGGGTGACTGTCTGTGTGGAGTTTGCACGTTCTTCTTGTGCCTGCATGGGTTTCCTCCCACAGTCCAAAGATGTGCAGGCCAGGTGGATTAGCCATGACTAAATTGTCCTTAGTATCTGGGGAGGTGCAGGCTAGGTGTAAGTAGGGGGCTGGTTCTGGATGGGATGTTCTCTGGAGGATCTGTGTGGACTCGAAGGGTTGAATAGCCTCTTTCTGCATGGTAGGGCCTCTATAACAATGAAGCTGCAGTATGGATTCATTAGCCTGCAGCCTAGAGGGAAGACAGGCAAAGAAACAAGAACTCAAAATCAGGCTTGCTTTAACTGAGCAGATAAGATGAAGACGTGATTAGTTATATAATGATGCTTGTTGTATAATGGTGAAAGATACATCAGGAAGGTTTGCAACCACCATCCTTCCTTTAGATTGGGATCTGACTGATTCGATTGACCTGTCATCTATGATTGAAGAAAACTACTTGGTAGTTAAACAGGAAGAGGCTCTCGTCTTAAACAAGATGTAGCTTATTGCACGATAGCAATCAGGTACAAGTTACATTAGAGTGACAGGCATCCCTGTTAAAAAGATGGAGGAGAGTTGGGTGATAAGTCTATCTCCTGGAAGATCCAGAGCCCTTCCCTTACTCAGGCCTATAAAATATCAGCATACTGCCCAGTGCTAAATGTAATGCTCAGTGTTAACCCTTTCAAAACTTAAGACAGGGAATACTGGAGAAACTCAGCAGGTCTGGCTGCATCTGTGGAGACAGAAAGAAGTGACAATTTTAGTCTAGTTTGAATCTTCTTTAGAACTGAAATGGATTGGAAATTTGTCTTATACTTTGACAGAGGCTGTGGACTAATGACAGGAACAGATAGTGTGGAGACCCAAAGCAAAAGACAAGAGAGTTCATAATAATGGTGAAAGACAAAGAACACATGTAAAGTGGGCATAAATTAAGATGTGAAAGAAGGAAATGGCTCCTCTCTACTGAGGGCAAAGAAAACAAGCTACATAAAAGATAATGCCAATGGGGAGGCGGGGGAAGGGGATATGTGGAAGGCGTGGAGAGTGTGAGAGGGGGCGTGGGGAGTGTGGGGACTTTGAAAATGTAAGAAAAATGAGGAACAGATGTCACAGTGGGATGTGGATAGAGTAGAGCTGGATGAACACAGCAGGCCAAGCAGCATCAGAGGAGCAGGAAAGCTGACGTTTCGGGCCTAGACCGCTGCTTGGCCTGCTGTGTTCATCCAGCTCTACACCTTGTTATCTCAGATTCTCCAGCATCTGCAGTTCCTACTACCTCTGTGGATAGAGTAGATTGGTAGAAACTTTTCACATTATAAAAGGATGGAAAACAAGAGGGCTCAGAGAAACATAGAAGATAGAAGCAGGAGGAGGCCATTCAGTCCTTCGAGCCTGCTCCGCCATTCATCACGATCGTGGCTGATTGTCCAACTCAATAGCCTAATCCTGCTTTCTCCCCATAACCTTGATCCCATATGCCCCAAGTGCTATATCTAGCCGCCTCTTGAATACATCAACTACTTCCTGTGGCAATGAATTCCACAGGCTCACCACTCTTTGGGTGAAGAAATGTCTCCTCATTTCCTCTAAATGGTCTACCCCGAATCCTCAGACTGTGACCCCGGTTCTGGCCACACCTACCATTGGAAACATCTTCCCTCCATCTGCCCCGTCTAGTCCTGTTAGAATTTTATAAGTCTCTATGAGATCCCCTTCTCATTCGTCTGAACTCCAGCGAAAACAATCCCAACCGAATCAATCTCTCCTCATACGTCAGCCCCACCAGCCCCAGAAACAGCCTGATAAACCTTCGCTGCACTCCCTCGAGAGCAAGAGCATCCTTCCTCAGAAAAGGAGACCCAAACAGCACACAATATTCTACGTGTGGTCTCACCAAGGCCCTGTATAACTGCAACAATACATCCCTGCTCCTGTACTCGAAACCTCTCGCAATGAAGGCCAACATACCATTTACCTTCTTTACCGCCTGCTGCACCTGCAGCTTACCTTCAGCAACTGGTGCACAAGGACACCCAGGTCCCACTGCACACTCCCCTCTCCCAATGTACAGCCATTCAGGTAGTAATCTGCCTTCTTGTTTTTGCTTCCAAAGTGAATAACCTCACATTTACCCAAATTATACTGCATATGCCATTGTTTTGCCCACTCACCCAACCTGTCCAGATCATGCTAAAGGATCTCAGCATCCTCATCACAGTTCGCCCTCCCACACAACTTGGTATCATCTGCAAACTTTGAGATGTTACATTTTGTTCTCTCATCCAAATCATTAATATATATCCCAGCACTGATCGCTGTGGCACCCCACGAGTCACTGCCTGCCAATTTGAAAAGGACCCATTAATTCCTACAAAGACAGTAAGAACTGCAGGTGCTGGAGTCAGAGATAACACAGTGTGGATTTGGATGAACACAGCAGGCCAAGCAGCATCAGAGGAGCAGGAAAGCTGATGTTCCGGGTCGGGACTCTTCAGAAAATTAATTCCTACTCCTTGTTTCCTCTCCGCCAACCAGTTTTCTATCCATCTCAATACACTTACCCCAATCCCATGCGCTTTAATCTTGCACAATAATTTCCTAAGCCGGACTTTGTCAAACGCTTTCTGAAAGTCCAAATATACCACATCGACTGGTTCCCCTTTGTGAACTCTAATTAAACCGGAGTTACAAATGTAGCAGATGTCAGTAAAAAACTATTATACTCAGGATATGGAATTCTCAGTCTGGAAGTGCAGTGGAGGCAAGTTCAATCAAGGCATTTTAGATCGAGACAATGTGCAAGGGTATGGGGACAGGGCAGGAGAATGAAACTAGATCATAATGTTGGTTGGAGAGTCAGTATAAACATAAAAGGCCAAATGCCTGCTTCTGCATTGTAAAAATTCTATGATGCTATTCTATGAAGGCAAGAAGTCTCCTGTGGGAGTAGTGAACTGTCTTTCTAATAGTAACCACACAACAGAATGGGACAAAGAAAGAAATAGGGAAGGTTGTCAGAAAGGTGCTAAACACATGGGGCTTTAATCCAAAGTGGAAACAGATGGTCAAGGACAGCATATATGAGTAGTTCATAGAGTATTTTTGCAGCAGTTTCGTAAAAGAGCATGTTTAGGAGGTTAGAGCAGGGTGTACAAGACCTGGTATTGGGCAACAAAAAAGATTAATTAATTGTTGCCATCATAATATGATTGAATTTTACACTCAGATTGAGCAAGAGTGGCTAACGTTTTAAGCTTAAATAAAGGCAATCATAAAAACAGAACTAGCTAAAGTGAGCTGCAAAATACGTTAAAAGATAGGTCTATAGAGATTCAGTGGCAGGCATTTAAGGTAATATTTCAGAATACACAAAATTGATACATTCCAATGTCAAAGAAAATTTCAAAGGGGAGAACCCACTATCTGTCATTAACTACAAATGTTAAAGATAGTATCAAACTTAAAGAGAAAGCTATCATTGCACCAAGACAGATGGCAGGGTAAAAGAGTGAACAGAATATAAAACAACAGCAAAGATTGACTAAGAGATTAATATAAAGGGAAAAACAAGAGAAGGTTATACAGAAATATATATTTTTTTAAAAATAGCAAAGGTTTATATTGACATTTTGAAAAGAAAACAGTTAACAAAGTTAGCGTTCGTCCTAGAGAAAATGAGTCTGGGGCATTAATAATGGAACATAAAGAGACAGCAGATAAATTGAACAGGTATTGGCATCAGTATTCCCTATATAAGACACAAGTAACATAGAATCCCTACAGAGTGGAACTAGGCCCTTCAGCCCAACAAGTCCACACCAACCCTCAGAGCATCCCACCCACACCCATCCCCCTATAACTCATGCAATCTACACATCCCTGAACACCACGGGCAATTTAGCACGGCCAATCCACCTAGCCTGCACATCTTTGGACTGTGGGAGGAAACCGGAGCACCCAGAGGGAATCCACACAGACACAGGGAGAACGTGCAAACTCCACACAGACAGTCACCGAAAGGTGGAATCAAACCCGGGTCCCTGGCGCTGTGAGGCAGCAGTGCTAACCACTGAGCCAGAAATAGCTGTAACTCAGGAAATGGAAGGGACAGAGGAGCTGAAGAAAATTACAATCACAAGCGAAGTGGTACTGAGTAAATTGCTGGAGCTGCAGGCTGACAATTCCCCAGGTTCTGATAAACTTCGTCCCAGGGTCTTAAATGGAAGTGATTATTGATATGGAGATAGTAGGAACTGCAGATGCTGGAGAATCTGAGATAACAAGGTGTAGAGCTGGATGAACACAGCAGGCCAAGCAGCATCAGAGGAGCAGGAAAAATGACGAATCAGGCCTAGACTATTGATATAGTCAATGGCATTGATTTTAACTTTCTAACATTCTCTAGATTCAAGGAATGTTCCATTAGCTCAAAAACAAAGTGATGTATCTCCTTTATTCAGAAAGACAGAGAGAAAGCCTCCCAATTAGTTTAACATCTGGCTTAAAGACGATGTTAGAATTTATTATTGCAGATGTTTTTGCAGGACTCTTGG